ATACATATATATATATATATATATATATATATATATATATATGTATATATACATATGTATAAAACAATCATAATCTATAGCATGTATACATTGTTTATTTTTAAACATTGTTAACTAAATTAATTACTTTTTTCCATATTTTAATTGAATTAAGAAATACCTATTAATAACTTTAAAACCTAATAATGTGATATTCTACGAATTTAATTATTTTAGCAATCAAAAAAATTTTTACTGTTAACACAAAAAAAATTTCAGGTGCTGCCAACTTGGATATTAGTAAAAACGGTAATGTCGCTGTTCGAACAATTGTATATTTTATTGTTACGTCTGTGTTTAATGTTTGTCTGGGATTAACTTTGGGTCTGATTGTTCATCCCGGAAGTCCAGATTTGAGGCCAAAAAACATCACATCATTTTCTGGACCAAAGAAAATGAATGCTATAGATGGATTTCTAGACATGGGCAAGTAAGTAAAATAATAAATCTTAACCATAACTATTTTAAGATATGAAACAAATTTATAAAAATTTGAACTATGCCCTTCAGTCCTAATTGTAATTAAATTAAAGTCTAAAGTTATAATAATTTAAAATTATACTTATTCTTCAGAAAAAACATATTAAATAGATATGCCTCATTAGGTATAGAAATAAATTTGATATTTTGGATATAAATAATTGTATATACAACATAACATTTTTAACGTATTAATTATACAACAATTTATTAATATTTGTATAATTTTACACACATTTAGTACAATTTTTAATACTGTTGCAAAAATAATGATTACTTTTAATTGTAAAAACCAATAAAGTAAATAGGTTTAAACTGATTTATACATAATTTATACATATTGATAATTTATACATTCCTCATATGGATTTAAAACATAAGATTAAGTACGATTGAATGAAATGGAAAGAAGCGCCGGGCATTTTATGCAATAAGAGGATTCTAATGAGGCTGAATAGTAAATTTAACAGGAGTGTAATGAGATCAACAATACTATATGGTTCAGAGTGTTGGGCAACCGAAGGAAAATATAACAGAATATGACTGTTGCGGAAATGAAAATGATTAGTGGACAAGATGAAAGAAAATAGACTGAGATGGTTTGGGTATATTATGAGACAAGAGGAAACAAATACAGTAAGAGTTGATATGAAAATGAAAATTTAAGGGAAAAGAGGAAGAAGAAGACCAAAAAAGAGATGGTTAGATACGATTGAGAATGATATGAGCGTTGATGTATGAATAGAGGATGTAGAAAATCGAAACGAGTGGAGATTTAGGACAAGGGTGGCTAACCCCAAATAGTTGAGAGAAAGGCAAAGGAAAAAAAAGAAGAAGACAATTTTCCCACATTCACAATTTAAAAAAATTTATCTTAATATGATATTATACTTGTTATGAGGATTTAATTTAAGTATATGTTTGTAATAAATAAATGTATTAACAAACTATATTTTATTCATATATTAAAAATAAGACACACACAAACATTATGAAGGTATAATAAATTAAAATTTGTTTTAAGATACAATGTTTAAGATCAGGGGCTTATTTATGGGGGTCCGAGTCCCTCTCCACCGAAATGAAAAATAACATTGTTTAAGATTGTTGGGGGTTTCCAAAAATTTGTCGCGACACTTGAGAATGTTGCTTATGCGATAATTTAAAATTGTATACTTATAAAATATGTTTATTCTTTTAAGAAAATATATTTTCTTAAAAGAATAAACATATTATGTTAACCATACTATGGTGAATTTTGAGTGACTAATAAAAAAATTGTTTATTGTAATGTAGTTTTTATACTTTTAAAATATTATAAATCATTAAAAAACTTAATGATTAAACTAAATGTTAGTTTAACTTAATTTTTCTTATTTATCTGATAATGTAAAGACAGTCGAGAAGTAATTTTTTTTGTGATAGTGTGCTTCCTCCTTCCCTTCCTCCCAAAAATCAAATATATAATTGGTTCCCTCCGAAATGAAAACCTATATACGCCACTGTTTTAGATATAAAGCGTTAAGAATATAATAATTGCAGGATTATATTTTTTTTATTAGCACTTTTTAGGTTTATAAATGTACACCAAGAGTTTCATACTGCAACTTTCAGTCAATAATTGGACATAGGTGATACTTTAATGCAATCATTTTTAGATTTTCTTCTTAACTTTTCGATGTGAAGGGAAAACAGAAAAATACTTAGAAATTATGTATTACACTTTATTGAGCAAGCCAATATATTTTTTTTATAGATAAATTATTTGACTTTATGACTTGCAAACTCTATACAATTATCCAATGCTATTTCACCAAGTGGTCAAAATTTGTAGATTTTTCTTAGTAAATTTCTTTTTACTATTCAATTAATTAGAATTACAAATTAAATTATAATATCATATGATATTATATTTAGTTCACATCGAACCTTCACACAAAAAAAATTTTCGAATGCTATGATTTATAATATCATTTAATTGTATACAAATAAATACGTCTAGCATAACAATAAAAACTTGAAACTAATTATTCCATGCTTTATTCTGATAAATTTTATTTTTTATTTTTTTTTTTTTTAAGGAATTTACTACCAGAAAATTTATTTCAAGCTACGATTCAACAGGTAAACAATTTATTATTCGTTACTTGTCTCTAATATTGGTATTCAAACCATTTTCTCTATATGCTTAAAAGTATACTTTAAACTTCTTCTAAGACTATATCAAAGTTAGTATATACGACTATGATATTTGATCAATTTATTTTTTTTAATATATTAATAAATAATAGTTAACATTAGCTAATCAGTGGTTGTAGTCAATTTTCAATAAGATATTAATATTTTTCAGACACTTACAGAATATGAGACTACAATGAGTGCAAATAACACGCAAATATTGAAAAAAGTCGTTAAATACAAGTAATAATGTTATATATATATATATATATATATATAATATATTAATGTTATATCGTTGAATAATGTGTTAAATTAAATAAATTATCAAATTAAGTATTCAATTATTTTATATACTTGTACTTATACAATTATCATATCACAACCTTATGATAGTCTTCTTTTATATTTAATATCAATATTTTATCATTATTATATTTACTATCTATAGGGATGGTACAAATACATTGGGTATAATATTTTTCTGTCTAATTTTCGGCACTATACTGGGAACGATGGGCGAACGCAAGCGACCCGTTCTAGACTTCTTCACAGTCACCTACGAAGTAATGCAAAAGATACTCACAGGAGTGATTTGGTAAATATCAGACTTGATTGCGTAAAAATAATTTAATAAAAATGAAATATGTGATAAATTACTCGTATTATTATATACATTTTCCGAAATTAAACAATGATTATCTTTATCTAATGCAGTGCTTCTCAACGAGGGCGATATCATCCCCCGGTGGGCAATGAAGGAGTACCAGGTGACGGTGAGCTCGTTTAAGGCGATTAGGGGGTTGTGAACTTTTTTTCCGTTCAAAGCAACATACCAAGATTTATCTGTAATTGTTTTCCATTTATCGATTTCTAAAATAAATTTGTGATTATGAAATATAAACTACATATATCAGAAGCAGTGCGTTATTATCTAATAACGAAAAAAGAAATCGACTAGACATCGTCAAAAGAGGAGACTTACGGCTTCATCTCACCAATTTTGAACCAAACGTAAAAAAATTGGTTTTAAATCACCAAGCATTTCACTGATCAATACTTTTCAAAACATTTAAATTATCCTTTTAAATTATATTTAAACATAAATTTTACATTTTATTTTTATTATATTTACATTTATATCTATATTATTTATTATTCAATTATAAACATTTCATGTATACTATTTTTATTTTTATTTTAATGAAGTGAAGGGGGGGGGCGTTTAAAAATATTTTGCTTCTTAGTGGGCGGCAGTTTGAAAAAGGTTGAGAAGCACTGATCTAATGTCACTATGCGTTGCATGTATACATGTATATGTTAAAGGTAGAGTATGAAAATCGGATAATGTACACATTCACCTGTTAATGAGAACACTATAGTGGATAGACCCATGCCTATTGAATAAAGTAAAAATATTATTTCTAAAACGTATATTTTTTAAATTAAACGGATAATTTGTATACCATTATCTACATTTGAGTGGTTAAAGTGTTTTGATAAAATAAAATTTGAAAAAATATAAATAATATATAATGATAAAACGTGTATACTGATATTGTATAATATTTTTAAACTTCAGTATGGTGCTATCAGTTTTCGAGTTCACTTCGGATTATTCAAGTATAATAATTTAGTTTATTAAAATGTCTTCTTAAAATGAAAACATTTATGAGATTTTTAATAAATTAATTAATGAAAATAATGAGAATTAGATGCATTTAACGGAATCAAAATAGAACACATTACCCGAAATAAGAAACGTGAAATTCACAAAAAATAAATGAATAAACTACAACTAACCATTAATAAATATTTTAGAAGTGTTGGATTTAAAAAAATCTTTATGTGAAATAAATCATGCTCAATCTCCGGTGGTCAAGGTTTTAAAAATTTTAGTGTAAAATTAAATGTTTAAATATTTAAATGTTTAACAAATAAATGTACTATTAAATGTAAATCGTATACTTTACGACTCCAAATACCATTCAAATTTTAACTGCTGTCCAATAAATAACTATATTTAATTTTTTAAATGTTTTCATTTATAAAATAATAACTTAATAATTTCTAAATATGACTTGATTTTTTTTCTACTTCATACTTTATTCACAACACACTGGAGAATGCGTACTGTATGTAACTGGATAATGTATACATTTTGTATATTTATGGTTGAAAATGTACAAATTATACTATTTATATGAAAAAGGTGTTCTTACTCAGGTAATGTATACACTACCTATCTATTTTCGAACTCTACCCGTAAGATTACATGGATAATCAAATTACTCGAAAAAATGTAATTAACTACAAATTACATTGCGATAAAAAATTGAATTTCAAGTTACATAATTTAATTGCTTGTAATTACAAATTACAATATAAAAAAGTAGATAAATATTATAAAATTTATAAAAAAAAAAAAAGTAAATAAGAAGTCATTATATTATAATTAAAACTTTAAATAAATAAACAATAAATGAGTAAAGTTTAATAAATGTAACTATATAAAATATAATTTTAATTTCCTTTTAAAAAAGCAATTTTTCAATTTGCTCCTCGGATATACCTCGAACGTGTAGTCAATATAAAACCGGCAAAATAAAATCCCTCTACTGGGACTGACGAACAAAGATCACTATTAAATTGATAAAAAATCCTTTAGCAACTGGATAGTAGAGTTTTATTTTTATCATAAAAATATTGCATTAGTTCTAATTCAATACCGTTTTGAGGAGTATTTACAGAATATTAGCCGGACTTTGAAGACATATATACTAAAAAAAATTGTCCTCCTCATATATGATATAGTTGTAACTAAACCATTTTCAAATTTTTCAAAACTATCTTTGTGTATTCTTTATTAAGACAATCATTTATTTTATTTTGGTATTACAAACTTTTGATTAAAATTATAATATAAAATTCATATGATATAAATATATTATTTCTTTAGTTATAGATACCTCATAGTGAGTTCGAAAATTTAAGATTACTAGAATGTTACAAAAAATTATACCATGTAGACAATTCAAATAATCATAATATGATAAATGTGTTCTATATTTATCTTGTATTACCTTATTTCAAATCTTACGTATTATTACTGACATTTCTAAGTTTCGGTTTTTTTAAATTTTTAATTACTAGCTACACAAATTTTAGATGAATAATTACAAATTACAAATAATTTATAACAAATTACTTCAAAATTATGTATGAAAATACCAGTTACAAAATAGTTAAGTAATTCAATTACCGCAATTGAAAAGTGCCCAATTCTGCACGTATATTTTTCTCCACTATAACAATGTGTTCGCAAAGCGTTTATATAATTATTAGGGCTAGGGTTTTGATGCAAATGCATCATTTTTTATATTGTCCCGACACTTAGGTCAGTAAGAATAAAATGTGTTTCAAGTGATACTGATTAATTTAATGTAGTTTTTATTTTGAATTTTTTTTTGCATTTAATTACCAATTTAACTTTATATGCATTTGTTGGGTATATGTTACTATTTTTAAGGCATTTTTCAAGTTCTTAGAGCATTTTTCAAAACTTATCTATAAATTCTTAAATATTAGGAATTATGTGTTTCGACATTTGTTCGCTCAAAACGTTAAAATTTAGTATGTAATCTGCTAAATTTATAAACTAATAAATATATGCATATCGACCCATGTACCTATTTTATCAAATCATAACAGCAAATTAAAAATAAATTTAAATTAAATGTAAATAAATACCTATTTTGTTATCATTATGATAAATAAATAAAATTAAATATGCTTGGTAATATGATTTTTATAATATAGTTTTTAAACTATAATAAATGCATTTTTTTACGCATTTTTGTAATGCTTTTTTTATGGTTTTTAAAACATTTTCCCATTTTTTTTTTTTTTAGAGAATTTGTTGCTATTTTTAGAGCATTAAAATTCCAGCCTTAATAATTATATTTTAAAATAGGTTTACTCCGATTGGAGTTGCTAGCGTCATATGTGGCAAGATCATTACTATAGTCGATCTTACAACCACACTGGTTCAGCTAAGCTTATTCATCATGACGACTATTGGAGGTTTCCTCTTTTATCAACTTGTCATCGTGCAGTTCATTTATTTCATAATCATAAAAGAATCTCCTTGGTCCTACTACTTGTCTCTGGGACCTGCACTCGCAACAGCATTTGCTACAGCTTCCAAGTAAGACTATGCTACGTTATATACTTATTATTTGTGATTACCTACTGGTGTTTGCTCAACAAAAAAAACATGTCTTCTTTTAAAATTGATCATCCGGAATAACATTTACTGCTTTTCGAAATTAAATTTTTAAAAATATTTTATGATAATTATCTATATCCACAGACAGAACACTATATATTTCTATTACACTGTTTATTATCACTACAATATTGACGATCGTGTTAAAAACAATTTTTTGCTGATATTATCAATGCTATTTCAATGCTTTTTAAGCCAATTTTATTATATTGTAAATGTTTACATTACTCTATAGTAAGATTGTAGCATTGCATTTTTGAGAATAATTATGTATTTTTTTTTCTCGTATCAGAATAATTATTTATGAAAAGTATCTACTTTAAATATTAATGTAACATTTAACTTTAAAATTTTTACGTATTATTTATACTATTTTATGATTATATTATTATTAATAATTTTATAATTTATGTTCTTACTTTACAATTTAACCTTTTATTTTAAGGTCAGCATCTATTCCAATAACATTTAAAGTACTAGATGAAAAACTAAAGATGAATCCTAAGATCACCAATTTCGTTCTTCCAATCGGTACGATCAACATGGACGGTTCCGCACTGTACTTGAGTGTTGCACTTTTATTCTTGGCACAAATCAATAACTTACAGCTAGGCATAGGAGAAATTATCACTATCGGGTATGTTATTAAAATGTCTTAATGTTATACTATATTGAATTACACTTAATTCAATATTCATTCATTCATTACTGGTCATTTTGTTTTTACCCACCTTCATAAATCGCTCAGTATAGCATTATAAACAACTTCAGCACTAGTAAAAATCAAGTACAAACTATTAGTCACAATATAATGAAAAATACAATTTTAAATTTTTAGAGAGCTTAAAATTTACATTTAGTAAAATTAATAAATCAAGATAACTCGAATTCGTTTTACTTCTCATTAATTTACATTTATATTATTGTCAAGGATATGATATCTGATAATTGCTATTTGTATATATATGGTTTCGTTTGACTTCATTGCAGATGCACCAAATCTATATCTGTATAAATATATTTATTAAACAATTATTATTTGATTAGTTGGTTATTATTTGGTTATTATGATTCATTGTTGAAATTTAAAATATTTTACATGGAATACGATTTAACTTTTATAAGTATATCAAACAAAATTTGAATAATTTTTTGTATTTAACAATTGCTAAATATCAAAGGATCAAATGTTTATCCAGTGGTGTCGAACCCTAGCTTAAATCAGGTCACGACCTGACCACATTTTTAAAATGAGGCCGAGGATCAGAGGGGCCAATCTATGGGTTGTACTTTGCAGTATTCTGTCCTCGCGATTATTCTCATGAGGAATACCGGTCGGACTTTGTCGGATCGGTACATGTATGAAAGGAACGGAAACGTTCAAATGTGATTTACCTAAATTAAAACATACAATGAAATCTTTTACGGAACGGTAATGTACGGTGTCTGTTGATATGTGTCTAACTAGTATGAATCATGCTTAATGCTTGCAATTTGAGATCGCAAATTATTTTTCTATGCACAGTAAAAATGTAGACTTGTGATCGCTGGGATACTTGAGGCCGTTGTATTTTTATTTGGCCTGGGTAAAATTTAAGAAGTTCGACGCCACTGCTTTGTTCTATAATAAATAACTAAAAGTTCATATACTTCAAATTAAAGATAAGTAGTTCTGAAAATGATATTTACACGTAAGACGAACTGAGTACACAATCATCTAACTCACAAAGGATGGTCGTAATTCTTAAAACAGATTACCTATGTACGAGTGCATAGGCACCTGAAGGGAGATAGCAAGGTAGGGCATTTCTCCCTCTGATTTTTCCAAAAACAAATTTAAATTGAAAAAAAAAATCTCTGCGAACGCCTATGTACGAGTGTCAAATAATAATATCATTTACCTCCTATTTTCATTAGATTAGCTTGCACAGCGGCCAGTATGTCTTCAGCAGCAATTCCATCGGCAGCTATTGTCTTAGTCATAATGCTGTGTAGTGTGATAAACATACCTACTGAAGACGTATCCTTACTGTTTGCCGTCGATTGGCTTGTGTAAGTTTAAAATACAATTCTAAAAAATCTTAATTATTTTTAAAAACCTAAAAATCAGTAACATTATTAAGCAGCATTATTTTATCATAAAACAGGGACAGATTCAGAACCATGAACAATTTGATCGGTGATTGTTACACAGTGGCTATTGTTCAACATTTATCCAAAGACGAATTGGATCAGGTAGAGAAAAATCATACTATTCTACACATTTAATGAACTACTAAAATTAATTTATAAATATATCGAACAAAAATAATCTGAAAAATAATTAAAATATTATACACATTAATATAACTCAAAAATTTAAGACATTCGCAAGACTTTCATAATTTTGAACCTAGTTAGGTATACAAAAATAACTATTCATAAATATTCGTATTTATCAACATGAATATAAACCTAAATTAAAATAAAAGTACAATGATTTGTAAATATATAATTAATATATTTTTTTCCATGCACAATATAGGATATGTATTATTCAATTATGGAACAGGACAACTAAAACCATATATTCAATATTTTTATGTTTTATTATGTTATTCTTCATATTTTGCCCCACAATGATTATGCCATACATTTTGAATGAATCGGATGTTAGAAAATATTCATTATTTCAAAATATTTTGTTGAAAATTTTTGACGAATTCCAAGTATCTTTTATAATTATATTAAGTATCTACTTAACTATAGAATATATTAAAATATTTATAGTTTCAATTTTTATTTCGTTATCATTGTATCTACCGTTAGTTTTTTATTTTTATAGGGTAGAAATTCTGAAATTTATTGAAGTTCGATGATTGATTTATATACTCAAATGCACTTACGTTTTTTTTTAATAATTCGCGCAAAAAAAAAAATTAAATTAATAATTCATTATACATTATATCCACACTCAACATTTTTAGGGACCATTCCTTTTCATTGATCATCACAACTGTATTTATATTTATATAAACATTTTTCAATAGATTAAAAATTTAAAAAAACAACAGAGTTACAATATATCTATTGACAATTGAAACATAAGAGATATAACAGTTAATAAACGAACAATAATTCAAAAAAATGTAAAAGCTTAATGCATTTTTAAAGATTTTAGTCCCAATATATTATTATTTGAAAATCAAAAGTTATAATTCGTGATTTATTGAACATTTTTACAATTTTATGAATAGCTATTATTCATAATTTGACATTCCATCTCTACATCATTATATAAGGTCAAGAAAGAACCTAAATATTAAAAAGAAGAATGATAAGCAGTCAGTTCACAAAATAAATTATGTTTTTATCTTTCTCGAAAAGTATTGCTTAAGGCATAAACTTCAACTGTGCGACAACTGTATATATTTACTCTATATGGCTCATTTATTTATTTTGTTGTGAATACATAATATAAATATTGTCTTTGTGCATATTCGTGTCTATTATCTACTGTTTGTCTGAAAACCCGGAACAAGTATTATGCTTCGTATCGCATCATACAATTTCTTCGTCTTTTTTATTTAACTATTAGTGAGTGCATATTATAATTCCGCTATGGCCTATTGATGGTTCCAATTACTTAGGACGACAGAAAATTACAGAAAATATCCATTTAATAGATTTTATCAAAATATTATCTTACAAAATTCACCAATTCATTAAAATATTATACATGTAAATAATTTAATGTGTCTCATAATATAATATAATATACATGATATATACACGCTCCCGGCGACCTTATAAAACAATAAATAATAATAACCGATTTGTTATATTATTTCTGTAATGTTTGTATATGTTAGCCAATACAATTGATACCATATTACAATGTATTGTTACATTACTATAGACTACAGAGATCATTATTATGCAAAGAAAAACTCGATAATCTCCATTGATCTTATCTTTTTATTCTGATAACCATACAACTGCAGGTAAATACGAAATGTTCACGGATTTTAAGTATTAAATTTAATTATATTTTTCATAATTGAAACTCCATATGCAAATATATGAAATGTGATGTCGGGTGTGATCGTGGTATAAAATTATATTATTATATTAATTTAATCAATAGTGCGATAGAAAAATAAATATAGGATAAATTAGTCATAAAGACGATAAAGTATACAGTTTTTTGATATACTTTATTGCATTTTCAATCTTTAACAAGAATAAATACGTTATATTTTGAACCATTAATTTAACAAATAATATTTATAACACATGCAAAATTTTGAAAAAAATATTTGGAATAAAAAGCTACTCACAAAAAAAAACGCTTATTGTAGAAAATATTGTCACACGTTTATTGGTGTATCGTCGTATATACATTAAAATCGAAGTTCATATAAACCAATACACCAGTAATAAACTGGTCAACTTACTTTTGATAAATTTTAAACTTCCAACCTATTTTTATGAAATATAATCATTTTAATTGACTAATTAATGAATTAACTAATCTGCTGCCTTTCAAAACATACCTTCATGTACGAAATACAAATTATATCAGCCCCCAACCTTCGCCATTTAAATATGATTAGATCAAAATATAGACATCGATATAAAAGTACCGTAGAAATATACATAAGATCAAAGTTGATTACCTAAGAAATCTATACCTACTCATGTCCATTTATACCTGAGCCTAGATTTGGTGAGCAACGTTTAATGATTTTCCGCTTTCAAACAAACAGTGCAAATTAAAAATAAATGTTAATTAGAACTAATAAATCGATAAACCACATGAATTTAATAATTTGTCAGATTGCTTGTATTAAAATAAGTTCTATATTTTTCCCAATAACTTATAATTACACTTTTTGTTTTTTTTTTTTTTTTAACGCTGTTACATAGTCCCTGTTTCGTGTTAAATATTCAAAATTATATTGCTTACCTATACAAATTGACATTTTGGAACTAAAATGTAGACATACCATTTTGTTAATATCTATATCTTGGTAATCAGCTTACATAAATAGGACTATTTTAAAATATATGACTCATATAAGTAGACTTACATATTACACGTTACTCCAATGTTATAACATGTAATATTATATTATACTTTCAAGTCAAATTTACCTTATCCCACGCAACTACATTATAGCCACAGGAGTGGCAATTAATAGTTGCAATTAAATATAATACATTGAATTATAATTTTATTTTCCTGTTAGTTTTAAGTTATGCTAAGAAAATAAATGATTATTATGTATTTACACATTGTTACACCGAAATATATTGACCTACAAAGAATCCCGTATTTCTTTAAGCCACTCGTAAATACTATTAGGTTTGTAAACTTCTATGCGTAATGTGTATTGGATTTCAAATAGAACAAATAGATACGTGTGCGTTACGTAAAAGTTCACTGTGCGTTACCTGGATTTCCATATCGCATATCTAATCTACCAACCTATCTACCGCTTACACATTAAATAAAAATAAATAAAATCATTCGTCATTCGATTCCCTAACATTTTTTATGTACGCTAACCCGAAATAATAACGTCTATTTTTATATCACAAACGTTTTGACTGGCTAATATATATATCATTAACTTATGAGAGTCCAGTGACACAAATAGGGTGGAGGAGAGTAAAAAATATTAGTATTTATGCACTTATATGAGATAGTTCCAACTATACTCTTATACATTGAAATCGGTTTTCAGCATCTATGTTAAACTTAAGTATTTAAATCGCGACGTCAGTAAAATATTACCTACAACATATTCACTTTTTAATATTAAAAGCAAAATAAAATAGTACAATTCTCTATAAAATATTTATCAATAATAATATGAATGATCAAATATTTTTATTTTTTTTATATTTTTATCTAATAAAATGTATAATAATAATAGCAATATTTATCATACGAATAGTAACAGTAGTTTTAGTAATAACCAGTGTTTATTTCTGGGTGATCGGGTGTGGGAAATTACCCCCCCCCCCGAAAAAAAAATATACGATACACTCTCCCGGGATAGAAGTTCTTAAAGAAATACTGATAATTACTAATAATAAATATTATTAATTATAATTAATATTGATAATAATAATAGGGTTTTATAATACGAATAATAATAATAATACCTTTTTTTCTTTTTTTTTTAATAGCACCCAATAAAAGTGATAATATAAATTATTATAACTTTTATTTGGTATTATTATTATTACTATTACTTTAACCAATAAAAATTAAGCTTGAGCATCTCAAATTGTTTACCATATTCGCTACTGCGTGTGACGTAGGTAATACGTCAAAACTTGTGCCTTATAATGACATTTTCAAACTTAAAATTCTACCCCTACACACACACATACATACACGCGCACACAAGAAAAACAAAGTTTGAATGAAGGTTCTTACTTTTCAAAAGATTTCTCGAAAAGTTTCAAAATCGGCAAAACTACACAAATATGTAATCAAGCCAATCGAAAATTTTCAAAAATTTGATAACCGTACGTGCTCGCATGTTTAGCTCTCTTAAATGTTAACGCTTACATTTACGATGTTTTATGATTTTTTATGCATTAGCGGTTACTAGATCCAATGCCTACATTGGATATTGTTGAAAATTAAAAATAATACTAGTATTTCAATGATTTTTAATTCGCGATGTAGTCAGTTTTTCTACAGACAACTTCAGAATTCTAATGAACGGGAAAATCAATTTTATTTTTTATCTATTCGTTTGCAGCAGCCTTTGCGAAGGTCATTAGTCATTATTCTTTACAGGCAACTGAATAAAGATAATAACAATAGCTATATGTATTAAAAACGTTCGATTACATATACACAAAATGCTGTTATTTTTACAAACATGTTTAGGATGTTATTATACTATGCTATTATACTATTATTATAAATAAATTATAATTTATAATGGATGAACCCGAGCGAGTAACATTCATTGACGCAAAATTAAATTGAAAAGATTCAAACACTGACGTTGTGAACACATGATATTACACTGCTTTGTTAGGGTATTTTTATATTTTAATTGAAAAGTGCAGATTGTTGGGCCGCCACTTATTGTTGTTAACACGTTGTTCAAATTGTATGGTATTTTTAGCTGCTGCTTGTTCGGACTCCAATCGAGTTAAATTTTTCTCTAGACCGACGTACGGATTTTTTCATTTCGAACGTGAACGTTTTACATATTGCCATAGTTGTATTTTATTTGACGCCATTTTTTTTTTTTTTCATTAAATAAATCAATTTTCGATTCCAACCTTGAGTGTCGTATATTTGTTCGATAAATTCCAATGCATACAAATTGTAATAAACAGTGCTTAAATAGAGAAAAATTAAGTAGAGGAGCTCAGTCCAACGATTTAAAAACTGCGTTCCACAGGGGCAATTATTTCGGCGGTCATCAAAACCGCACACTTATCGTTCATAACCGCACATTTTACATCGTTCAATACCGCACATATTTCTTCTATTATTAAAAAGGGAAATTTGAAAGGTCGGTAGTTTAAAACTGCACACATTTGGTCAACAGTTCCTTTTTCTCTGCACACTTTGCATGTACAGTTCACGTGGCCGGTTACGTATGAGTCCCAGACAAAATTTTTTTTTTTATCCTGGGACCTACTTGGGGTAATGTTACATAGCAAATCGGGGGATATTTTAGTTTTTAACTGTCCGAGCGAGCGAGTGACCCCGCTCGGTCTCGAGGTGCACTCATGTTATTTTAGATAAATGTATACGTAATTGATATATATATATCAATTTGTACGGTATTGAACGGTTTAATTTAGCGAAAATATGTGGGATTAAAATATAAAAGTGTGTGATTTTTAACGATGACCTGTTTTTGAAAATGTGTGGCTATGAACGACGTCCAATTATTTAACACAAGCCCGTGGGTAACTTTACTCACTTTATCCCCTCCTCCAACCTTACATTTTGAATACCACTATTTAGTTACACAAATATTTAAATTCCAAATATTAATATCGATAATATTAATAACAAACTATACAATGAATGAAGTATATTCCAGACATTATTAATTATATTTTTCCTGAAATGATGATGCCGTCACTTATCATAACCACCATATAATCTTTTATTATGAAAATGTATTTTCTCATTTACCTACAAAAGTACTAAGCGTAAATAGAATTATATTTACCATATATTCCAATTAATTTTCAATTAATTCAATATTTTTGTATGTTGCTAAGCACGGGTGGCTAGATCAACACGTACTGCGTTTAATTATAACAGTGCTGCGTAGTCACTATAAAAAAAAGGGTTATAGTCAACCGAACATAATTTCGGCTAACATAGGCTGGGCACTAATAAGTGATAATACTAGCGGAACTCAACGTCTTAATAATAGTTTTGATATTATAAATCGTAATATTCGTTATAAAATTGACGTTAATTGATATCCACATTTTAATAAAAATTATTTTGGACATTAGTTTGGGTGGACGTGGCATCCTCCCGTTCCAGTGAAAAAATATAGTTGGGGTACGCAGAAAAAAATAGTAGAAGAGCTCCGTCCCCCTATCAACATAGGGCATAGTCACCTAAGAAAACACGTTTTAATCATTTTCAGTGTTGAGAAAAGAAAAAAGTACCTACTTATAAAATATAAAGCCGTTTAAATCAAAATAAATGACCTAAATATTTTTTTTTTCAAGAAAAACTAAAAATAGTCTCTATAGTCTTGATGCTGTAGTGTCAATATGGGTATTTTTTTTATTTCTCTGTTGTGATCACATCTGACCGGAAGACCGAAACCCACACAAAAATCCCACACTGCAGAGGCGTCCATAGTCCGACGATTATATTACGAGTATATTATTTTAGGTTCAATCGTTATTGATTATGTATTGATTTCGATTCCGAATTGCTCTTATTATCTGCTCAGTACAATTTTCTGATATTTTCCCTGCCTTGATAAAATCCTGATCATACCTCTGCAAACTAATCTGTGTCTAGAGTTGAAATGTGTATTCAACGAATAAGCGAAGAATAACTATCAGTAAAAATACAGTCCACAAAATTGGCGAAAATAAAATTGTTGAGGCGGTCATAGCGTTATTTTTTTTATTTTTGCATCATCTTATATAAGTACATTTGATCGTTTCAAAAAAAAAAAAAATAATAATAATAATAATTGAGACAAATAAATAATAATAATCCTGAAGTGAAATTATTAAACAAGAAATAGATATGTCGATATGTTAGTACAACCATTGATTATTGAATTAATAATTAATAATAATTCTATAGCATAACTATGTGTATTAAATTAGCAAAAATGAAATAGAACTATTTCTTTACAAATATCTGTTATTTTGATGTCGAATTAATTGAATATGAATGTAGATTTTTTTTTAAGAATTATAAAAACCTTTACCATTAATTAATTATCAACGTCTATAGGTAATAGATAATCAAAAATGCTAATAGTCTAGTCAGGTGTCACTGGTAGGAGACTTCCTATTCTGTTCGAGATTATTATTTTCAATCAAATTCAGTCATCAGATTTACTTATTATATCGTATTGTATAGATTGTACCTAAATATATTTCTTATAAAATAATGAAATAAGAAAACAACTGTGGAAATATAAACTCTGACATGAAGTAGTAACAAACACCTAGTCCAATATGAATGTGCGACAATAATAATAATAATAATAATAATAGTAATCATATACTTACGTGTAGTATGATATAAGATTGATAGACATATTTATTCGCGCATTATATTTGAACCATTAAATATACTATTGGTATTTATTTATTTTTAAAACACGTGCTCGAAGTAATTGTGTTTTTTTTTTTTTGACAGAACGACGATGTGAATAAAACGGAGCCCATAGACGAATCACATACGAACAGCTCATTTGTCATGCAAGATCTCGAACAAAACGGACGAATAAACGAGTGTTTCACCAACACGCCTGTATAAATGATACATTCCCAACAACGGGACAACCACGACAAACATTCACAAGTTTTATTTAATTTTTTTTTTTTTGTACAACTATTATTTTTCGTGTATTTATTCCATAAATATTTTTTAACGTTTTTTGTTATTTTGTGTTATATAATTTAAAATAATTTGTATTTTCCATCAGTATCATAATATTATATTTGTATTAAAATAAATATAATAGATCGTATATGTTATAGTTATTGAATTATGATTTTGCGACTTTTTAGTGGCACACAGTATTGCATTCCAATTGCGTTTATTAACCAATTTAATTGACAATTAATAATTATTATATAAAAATTAAATTTTTAAAAATACATGCAAAATAAAACACTTGTCATACCATTCGTTCTAACATTACAATATTGTCTGACCATCGTATGCAGCCATGTAAATAGGTGCTTATTTTTTTATTTTATTTGGGAGGGAAATCGATTAAACTTCTTCAAAATGTTTGGAACTTAATCAATGTGCAATAAAATGTTATAAACCTTATATCTTAATTCGTGATTAATACAATAGATCTTTGGAGGGGGTGATCGATCTTATCGCTCACCTAAATGACGTGCAGTATTTTCTTATGCAGATGATTTATCGTCACCAATTGCAGTGTGATGCGCAGGAGGAGTGAGCTCCTCAATTGTTTTTCTTTTTTTTTTTTTTTACATCTCTCAACTATTTTTCTATTGAGACTATATACGTTCAAACTAATATCTAAAGTAAATTGGTATTTTCAATTATTTCTATAAATTCTTTGAAAAAACATTTAAAATTGTTTCTATCCAGTAACTATTCGTTATATTTTCACAGTAATTTTAGAATGGATTTCAATACAAATTCAGTGTTAAATGACTTATTTAAATTGGGCATTTACGTAAACTGTATTTTAATTTATTTGTCATTCACAGTTTGAATACAAATTCTCATCTAAAGGTACGCGTTCCAAGCTGCATAAAAACGCAACGTCCGAATGCAGCCATCTTGTAATTCAAATAATTTTATTTGAATTTTATATTTATTATAGCTTTATAATACTTACCATAAATAAATATTATTTTAACTATAATAATTATTTATGTTGAATTCTATTGATGTACTTAAACCCCTAGAATTTAAAAGGTCTTTTTAAAGTTCGTAGGTACAATTTAACTTACCACTCATTGCTCTGCAATGAACACCTACTAAAATAATATACATATTTCAGAATAATCATATATTTTTTCATTTTTCAACGTATGCAGTTGCAACACTAATCGCCATATACCTAGTTATTTATTTATAACAACTCTTTTGCTTTCGTTAATCCAAGAAGAGAAAGAAAATAAAATGTTGAAAGCTAATGGGGTTCCGTGTGACGTGCAATACTGCTATTGTTGGCGTAAAAAGTCTAGACCCACATCGTCAGACGCATCTTGAAAAGCAGTTTTCAGAAAATAGATTGCAACAAATATTTACATCAAACGCACCTTAGAACGCATACCTATATCAACACGAATCACAATAACTGTTATTTTGAGAAAATATCTGCCTTGATTAATTTTGAATTAAATTTATTATTATTAAATTAATTTAACATCAATTTTTATTTGAAATTACTGGTAACTCGATTTTGATCAGAATAAATTGTTCCTTATCGCAAGTCATACTTTTGTTATAATTTGTTGTCAAATTAGTGTATTTAGATTATTTTTGGAAGTATCCAAGAATTTTCTATTTAATTTTGTAAATGTTACAAATTAATATTTTTTCTGTATACTTGTTGTGATCTAATAACTTTTTAGTTAATAAAATGTAATAAAAACCTCTCCTTGAGTGAACACACTTGAACATTTTTTCCAATACTTTTTCAAAAATACTTAATGTAAAATGTCTTATCTATTAGAATCTATTTTAATTATATATTTATTTTTTAGTTCTAGATTTCTACCAAGCCTGTATTAAAAATTAATAATTTTACGTATAAAATTCTAAAGCTGTTCTGTAAATTACTTGAATAATTATTACTAATTACTAATAAAAAAATAAAATAGTAAATTAAAATAAGTCGCAATTATATTCATCCTGAAGTTCACTTCTTAATAATACAACAATCTAATAAGATCAATTGTAAGCATTTCATTTAATCCAAAAAAAAAAAAAAATAGAATTGGGCTGAATCTTAATAATTAAAATTGAATGATAATGTAAGTGTTCTCGGAGTATTTAATTCACTAGCTGTATTTCTATAATTAATTTAAGATAAGAAATTTTATTTTTTTCATAATAATTACAGTGGGCATGAACTAAAAATGCACTTATCTTTATAATTGTTAGTAATAATCACATTTAACTGCCAATGTAACAGAAAATAAAACATTTAATTTGAAGAATACTTCATATTATAAAATTAAATAAATTACTCACAGAATGCCTGAGTAAACAACTCACAGTATCAGAATTCAACATTAAAAATATTAAGTAAATATTCATATTATATTAAATTTTACTAACAATATTCTTCTCGACATTATATTATCTTTACTGAATAACAGTACGATGATTACAGTTATAAAATACTTCACAAGAATTGATTTATTTTGCTATTAGTTGAGAGCTAACTAGGTAAGTTTTTATTGTAGAAGACATTGGACCATTTTAATTAAACCAATTACTCATAAATATAAATACTTAAGACTTAAAATAATGGATACAATACTTAAAATTTTAAACAACTCAGTACAGTGGCGGGGAGGGAAAGGTTTGGGGGTCAACCCCCCCCCCTCATGAACCTGAGATGATAAATTAACTTTAACATGAAACACAGTTTTTCTTTAATATTTTTATATTTTAGAATTTTGACTTGGAAATCATATTAATAGTTTGTATAAACACAATAAACGTATTAAACACACGCTGCACCCACACACGTCATAATATTATGATCATATTTAGATGCTTTACTACTACTTTGATAATTTTTGCTCTGGAACATATTATTTAAGTTTTTAACAACGGTTGATTCTAAATCGGTCTTCTGGTCCCGATAACTGACATAAAAGTGATATCATTGTCTGTATTCAAAGTTTATTTTGGGTATACCTATTGCATTCGTGACTCGCTGATCAATTAACACAAGCACCTTATTGTGTAAAACTAATAGTTATAGTTAATAGTTAGTCGTTGCCCGTTGGTGTTTCACTGTTTTACTTACTACTCATTTATTCATTTATATTTGACATTTTTATTCCATTATATTTGTTTTATTTTAATTTGACATCATTCTAAGACGTCTAAACATTCCATTATGGTAAGATATTTTTAAAATTTAATTTTTAGTATGCCTAAGCAATTGAACAGAAAATATCCTAATATCTAATATTTATGTTCCTATATTAGTTCCTAGTTCCTAAATTGTTATTATTATAATTATTATTTATTATTTTAGGAAAATTCTCTAACAAATAAACAGACTAGAAAAATTAATTATTTTTTTTTACCCGAGTCAAAAAAAATAATGTCAAGCAGACTTAAAAATACCGAGATCAATACAAATATTAGTCAAAATAATAGTGATAAGATTAAATATATATAAATTTTCTCACCCTCCCCTCCCCCATAAAAAGTTCCTGGTTATGCCACTGACTTAGTATAACACATTGAAATGGCTAATATACAAAATATTTAAATACATTTGTATAAAAATAAATTCTAGGCATATATTGAATTATTTATTTTAAATCCTGATCAAAAGTAGCTATATTGAATAAATTAATATAAACATTTTGGTTTTCTAAAAAACTTTCGTAATACATTTAAAGTTAAAATGATTTCAAAGAACACTTTCCAAGAGTTGAACATTGACTTTAATAGACAAGCAAATATAAATTCTTGAAAAATGTTGATAAACAAAACTTGTAAATTAATAGCAAAAAACCAAACTTATTAAATATACTTAAATATACCCATTTAGAATTTTGATACTGTGAAACTTTGTTAACCATCAAATTTGATTCCTAAAAGTACCAACAATTCTAAGGTGTTTTATACTAAGCTTAAAATCATTAAATAAAAAAGTTCAAATATCTTCTATAGTTGGAACAAAAACCATGAGTATTTATATTGAATTAAAATAAGGACAATATTTATGGGGAAAAAACATATTAGTTTTAAGTAAAAACAAAACTATTATTATACTGTACAAAATGTATTAAAAGCAGGCAAATAGGTACCATATATCATGGAATGTTAATTACCATGAAATCAATCACAATTTTTAATAAATTATTTAAAAACTAAATTGATAAAAAATCTGAAAAGAGAAGTATATAGAATGCCTGCAAAGGTAGTTAACTAGGTGCAAAATACTTTCAATGTTGATATAAGGCATTGCCCCATACATCCCCCAATGTTATTTTGTTAATTGGATTAAAGAAATCGTAAATTTATTTAAATTAGATTTATTGGACACATTTATATTTACTAATACTCGAAAATCAGAATACTAATTAGTCATAATAATAACATAATTGCACAATATTTTACATATCACAATTTTTTAATTGTGATATATTAACATTAGTAAAATTAAAAACGCAAATTTGTATAATTATATTGATCATATTTTAATTAAATACATTAATATATAATGTAACCAATATTGAATGAATATTGAACCAATATGAAAGTATTCTAAAATTGTGAAAAAATATCCATTAAAGGAGTATTTTTATTTATTTAACTTTTTTATTATTTTAAATCATAAGCAAATTAATTTTTTTCAACAAAATCAAACCAAGCATTTTTTTTATATATATTTTCATAACTTTCAACATTTTAGCATTAGTTTTTATTTTTATTTTAGAATTATTTACTTGTGCTATTAACTAACATATGCAATTAAACTAGAAATTATTTTTATTAAATTAAAAAAAAAACGTATCATAAATTAGTATTTTTAAAAATAAATCACATTTTAATCCAAATAATTTCATACTTACTATAGTTTGGTCATTGTGCTTTATTATTCTACTAAATAATATTTAGACTAGCTTAAAAGTTAAGTTTTAATATTTTCATTAATTACAGAGTTAAGTGCTGTTAATCTTAATCTTCTTAAAATCAATTGTTGGTCGTTTGTCATTTTCTTCGGTAAATAATAGTTATCCCATTCTGTAATTAGGCATCTACTTTTACAACTAATTAATAATTAAGTTTTAAAATATACTAAAAATAGACACCATGTTGAAACCACATTATTTGTGCAAAAGATCATTCTAAGAGGTCTTTTGTGACTATACCCTTGTCAATAATCAATACTTAAGTGTGACTTGATATTTAAAAATAATAGTAAACAGTGGAAAATATACCAAGGATCATTGATAATTCAAAAATTACAAGTGTAGAACAAATACTGAAGTAGTGTACATTCATATATAAGGAACTGTTTAAATAAATAAAAACATTGTTAAAATGTGTAAAATAATCAAGTTTTATTCCTCTTGTACAACTGTTGTCTTTTCAGATACATATAGACCATCCAAGAACTTACGAATATCCTTGTTCTTTACAGTGGTAGACTGTTGGATTAAAGCAGCTATAACAAACAAATAAATCATACAAAATTAAAAATTATTAAACAGTTAATCCTAAGGTAATAATCTATCTATCTTACTTCTTTTGACTTTACATCATTGAATGATTAATAATTCGAGAGTTGTTAATATAGACTACAAATTTAAACTTAGAAATAATTATAACTATAATAATTAATATTTTATTATTTATAATTTTTATTTAAAGTATAAATTATTATATTTAATATTATATTATTTCTAAGTTTAAATTTATAGTCAATAACAACTGTTGAATTATTAATTATTCAAAATTCTAAAGTCAAAAGAAGAAATAAAATGGGTACAGATTTAGAATAATGTGACATTTATGATTTAATTCAAATACTGTTGCTTATTATTAGGGCTCGGAAGTTGTTGCATTTGCATGTTTTTTTTTTGCACAATTGGATTTATTGCTAAATGAGCTAGAAATTTGTTCCAAGACACTACGAAAACCATATCAAAAATTTATAGTGCATATTTTAGCATATTTAGTGATTTTTAGATTTTATAGCATATTTCTTAACTTTACAATTTCTTAGAGCATATTTTATGATTTTTGAAGATTCAGAATGAAAATTCAAAAAAATAAAAAATTCATTCATTCATATTGAGAGAACTTTCTTAATATTCTTGTATTGTATTTTTCAAATTTCCATTTGACATTAAAAACAATGTTTTTCTCCTATTGGTTTATATAATATACATATATTTATAAATTATAATTACTGCTAGCTTCATCTAAAATAAAATATTATACAAATATCAAATAGGAGCAGCTGCTATCGAATATAACTATTTTTCTAGGAAATAATGATTATTGAACATTCTACTAGTGCATTTTATTTTATTCAAGAAACATTTTTAATGCTATTTTATTATTATTATTTTTTTTTTTTAAATCAAAATTATTTTTATTACTTTGCTTTTTCTATATTTATAATTTTATAAAATATTTGTGCAAATGAAAATTTTGTGTACAAAAATAAAATATAAGTGCATATTTTTAGAGCATATTTGTACTTTTTTAAGCGCATAAGTGCATGCATATATAGTATTTTTAAAGTGCATTAAGTTCCGAGCCCTACTTATTATTCTTGATCCTCCTAATAACTTCTATAAAAAAATTAATTTACATAACTAAAACACGTCCTTACACTGATCAGTTTTGTGTGAAAAACCTATATCTTATACTGCTAGTTACATTTTACTAATTTTTAGAATTATTAAAATAAAGATAATTTTATTAAAACATCTATTGAATCATTAAATATTTAATTTTATATTATAACTAGCCAAATTTAAATAAATATGAATATATATATATATATACTCTTAAGATTTTTGTTTCAACTAAAATTTTTCTGAATTTAAAAAATTAATTCAAGATTATTTACTATCTAAAAAAAACATGTGAATTAGGAAAAAATAAGCATTTTCTGCAGGTTTTTGTTAGGGGTAAGGAAGTAAAATTAAATCAGGTTTATAAATAAAATATTGAAATTACAAATCAAAATGTTTAACTTTTATTTCATATTTAGACACCACAAAAAAAAAGTATAATAAAATCGACTATCGAGAAATCGTAGTATCAAGGTTACTGATATTTTAAAGTTAAACGGAACATTACAAAACGTTCAATATTGTCATATAATTATTGTTAAGAATTTAATACAAATAATATTTATATTTCATATTATTTAGCCATTTTGTGTCTTCAAGATAAACCATTTTTTTCCTATGTAGAATATGAAAAAGCCTTAGAAAAATTTTTTAGGGAGGGGTCACAACCCCCAAACCTCACCACTAGTTGTGCCACTGGTTACAAGTACTCTGCCCTAGTAATAAGTTAAAAAGCAACCTATGGATTCAATTAAAAATTAATAACTTTTACATATTTTTCTGTAATCTTACATACAGCTTTAAAATATCAGTTTTATGTTTCCCAATTTTTAATTTAAATTTTATATTCTTATACAAACAACATACAAAATAAAAAGTATTTTATATTTTTAAAAATAAAAAACTGAAAACGTCAAAAGAATAATATGTCAGATTGTCAGCTGATAATGTAGCACGAAATAAAAATATCATGATAAAAGATAACAATTTATTGATAGAAGTTAGAAACATGTTCATATTAATGATGTGACTAACATCAACTAATGCAGTTTGATAGTTAATTAATCTTCAGTTTGTTATGACCTAGAATAGTTAATCGTAGTATAAATGTAATGGATAAAATCATATTTTTAATCTACAATTAGTTTTCATCTGAGACTAGTTAACTAGACATTTAACTGGTAATTGATAAAACAGCCCTAATAGATGTAAAAATTTTAAAATTAAAACTAACAGTTATGGGATTAAACAAATAATAAAATATAAAAGGAATTATGAATGGAACATTTTAAAACAAGGATTAGGGCACAATCCTATTGTTATCCTTTTATTATCCTCACGTGTGGCACATATGAATCAATATACAATATTAGAGAAAGAAAGATTGTTAGAAAATCATGTAATATTAATTTTGATTATTTCACTATCCAGACATCCTAACAGAAAACCATGTACACAAACGGATAGCAAAGGTAGCACTTAATAAAACCATTAAACAGCGATATTTGTTTGAAGAAACCCAAGCCCAAAATAAATGGTTGAAAATCATATACCAAGTGCTACATATGTGTAACTCGGGTTGATTTAAAGAGATCCTCATGTCACATATGTGTCAACTGGCCGGGAACATGTTCAGTATTTTTATATTTTTAACTTCATAATTAAACTAAGATTTTAACTTTAAATTTAAACAGTTAATAAATCATAATATACTAAGTAGAAGAATTAAATCTAGTAATTTTAATACAAATGTTAACTTTGAATAACATATTTACCTGATCGAGAAACTTTTTCAATATCATTCCCTTCAACAATTAACTCGTCCTTTTGCTTAGAGTTGGATACTGAGACACCAGGCGACATCTTTACACGTCTGATATATTTCTCTCCCAAGAAATTTCTGATTTCAATAAGAGAGTTATTCTCAGAAGTAACACAATTAATGGGGAAATGAGCATATACAGCTCTCATTTTATACAAGAAACCCTAATAAAACAAAAAAAAAATAAAAAAATATGTTTTTTTTAACGTAAATTAATTTAGTATATTCACTTACTTTAGTAACACCCTTGATCATGTTTTCAACATGAGTACAAATGGTTCTGACAGCAGCCAATTCTTTTTTAGTACCAAACCATTTTTCAACAGTTAAAAGACGTGGGCCTTTCATGTATATATCAACAGCTAAATGTTTGAAATTCCTTTCTAATGAACCACGGGGTCCTTTAACAACAATAATTCTTTTGTTGACAGTAACATCAATACCATCAGGAATTTTTACAGACTGGTTGGCGTTAATGGTCCTCATCTAGACATAAAAATAAACATTTTTAAATATTAAACTTGAAAAATTTTTCTCTAAAATAAGGCTGATGGTTCAATATCATGTGTAGTTAACAATTTTATGTTTTTAAGTTTTAGATATTTTAATTATTATGCCAATTAATAAAAAAATTATTTATTTAAATGTCAATAAAAAAAAACCAATGAAACATGTTACACTGCGAACGAGTATATTCTACATTTAAAACCAACCCTTAACTTCGAACTGTAACCAAGTCAAATAGATTATTCGAAAAATTAATGTATTCAAATAACTGATCAACAAATAAAACTGTAATTAAAACATAATAATTGTACACATAAGCGAACATTAAGTATTAAAGAACGTAAGCCGAATGTCCCAAAACGGACATAACAAATGTCATTTCGTTGTCATAACTGTCCAAGTGAAACCGCAGATTCCAACCAAAATCACGTAAATCAATTAAAATATTAGTAAAGAAAACTTACTTCTACGATTATTTATATTAGAAAGATGTTTAACTTAAAACAAATTAAGATTACCTTGGATGAAAATCCGAGTACACCGAACACACGAACTAAATTTTGAGAAGAGAATATTGTTTGGGTATAATTTTGAGGTTAGAAAAAAATCATGTATACGTGGTATAAGTGGTAAAGATTGCTTTGACTATTTTCCACAACCACTGTATCATTGTGGTTAATTTCGCTACAAACGCCGAGTACATTTTCCTTATCATCGTACTTATCAGTTGTTTGCTTTCGGCGTTTGTAGTTTGTGAATTTCCACTTTCTATGTTTGAACGTTGTTTATCCAAATGTTCTGAAGATACTGTAAGTAAATAAATAAATAATTTAATACTTAGAAAAAGCCAAATTCCGTATTAAAATATTACACAATGAATGATCTAAGCTCGTATAGAGATCAACACTTCAAAGGTTCTAGAAGTGAACTCGATAAACTGTTACGCTTGTCGTTAACCATGTATGTCGGCAACTTAGCGTTTTATACTACAGAAGGGCAAATATATGAGTTATTTTCCAAGTGTGGTGATATTAAACGCATTGTCATGGGTCTAGACAAATTTAAAAAAACTCCTTGCGGTTTTTGCTTCATTGAATATTACACAAGAGAAGACGCCGAAAACTGTATGCGTTACATAAATGGTACTCGACTTGATGACCGCATTATACGTACGGATTGGGATGCTGGATTTGTGGAAGGAAGACAGTATGGTCGAGGAAAAACTGGAGGACAAGTCCGTGATGAATACAGAACTGATTATGATATTGGACGGGGCGGATACGGAAAAAATGCTCAACCTAAAGCAGACATGATAATATTCGGAAGAAATAAAGATGCATTACCAATGGAATAACTTAATTCTACTAAATAATTGTCTTTTTATAAATTTTTTTTTTTTTTCTAAGTAAATGTAATTTTTCTGCGAAATGAATGTAAATAAATATATATTTTATATGTTGTAGAAGTATATTGAATTCAAACAATTGATTATATGATCATGTTTTTTAACCTTGGGAAGTGATATTTTTTATTGCTACATACAAATGAATGATAATCAATCAGATATTTTACATTGCTGTGAATATATTAACATGAACGAAGAAAAGTCTACTATAATATCAGACCTTTGTCCGCCATGTGGAAACTGCTGTTCTAAGTAATTATATAAAGCCTTTTCATATGAGTGATTGTTATTAATAGAAACTCATTTTTTTATTATTAACTGACATTAGTTATATTCATTTTTTACCATGACAATTTAAAATTAAAACTTAAAATAATAAAATTAGTCAGGTAATATAAATTTATAATAAAACCATGGGCGCTTTAAGGGGGAGGGGCAAGACAAGGCACTTGCCCCCCTGGAATAATGTTATTTCCACAGAAATTGGTAAAATTTCAAATGATAAATTAGTTTCTAAAAATAGGGCTACTAAGTTTCCATAACATATTATGTCAACGCACGGCTGACGGCTATCTATGAAAATTATCATTAATAATAATCAGGCTATTTTATCTTAATGTATTTTTTGAGTGATGTTTTAATTGTATATTATACATAAATGTCAGTAATGTTTTAATTCATAATTTTAATAATGACGAAATATAATAATTTACTATAAATAAAATGTATAAAAAAATTTTCATTTATTTTTTAAATGAATTTTGCCCCCCCCCCCCTAGTAAAATGTCTGGGGACGCCCATGAATAAAACAACTAGTTCAATTTAAATTTATAAATCTTGTGTTTTTCTTTTTAATACCTACTTAATTAAAACTATGAATTATTAATTTTATATAATTGTGTGGGTAAACAATATTTTTGGAATGTATTATAATGGACATTAATGTTAAATAAATTTTATCATGTTGAATAATTTTAACAGAATTTGGTATATAATTATTTACAAAGAAATAAAGGAGAACAATTGAAAGTAAAAATAATATACCTATTTAGTTGTATTTATTATTACAAAACATTAAGGCTAGTTGTTATATTCTACCTTACAATAATTTTTAATATATAGACTAAAAATATGACTTTTTTATGTGTAATATGTTATATTAATAATTTAAAATAGCATGTAGATGAAATATAGATACAATATTCAACCTAGAAATAATAACTCTTAAAAAATTAAAATGGTATAAGGTAATCAGAAAACTATATTTCAATATTAAAGTATTGACAATATGTATATAGAACTGTATACAATTATGTATCATGTTAGGTTAGAGGTTCCCAACCTTTTTTGACTCACGACACCCTTTATTATTTTCTAAAAATTTGGAGGCGCCCTATAGCCTATGCCCTATATTCAGAATATAGAGCATAGGCTATTATTATTCAGTATAAACTATAGAATATAATATTCTATAGTTTATACTGAATACGCAATTCTAATATATCATATATTTAAATTTATATTTTGTAACTTCGGTTTTATTTAGCATTAATAAACAATAAAAATAAGATAAAGTCACAAGTATTTCAACGTAAAGAACTTTAAAACAGTTCACATCAAATCGATAGCAATGGAACCAGTATGAAAATTAAAATAGATTGAACATCTTAATGTTGTTGACACACTTAATAACAATTTTATACAAATATAATAGTAAAATATAGCCCATATAATGACTATTAAAGTTATTTTTCATATTATTTTCGTCTACAGGAAATTCATATTAACAGGTTAACTGCCACAGCAATGTTTAATGTTAATAAAATATTGTTAAGTATACCAGTTTTGGTACACGGCTAAACATTACGCTCATGCTACGTGTACTATTTAAGGTACACTGGAATCATTGACAAATACTATTCAAATACTTAAAGCATAAATTAAAAATCTTATTTTGTTATTGTTTTAGCTTAGCGAAATTGACAAACATTGTAACAAATGGTATGCGTTAATTGGAAATACTACAGTGTACCATATCTGGTACACGTGGCAGTTAACCTGTTAAAATAGTAAATTATAAATATACTAAAAACCTCATTTAAAAATTTGCATTACTCTTTGCAATAAAATTAACTTAATTTAGATACTTTTAAATAAAATTAACTTAAAGTTAACACGTTAATCTTAAAAAAAAGTAATTTATTAAGTTAAAAGTTAATTTGTAAAAAAAGTAACGAGTTAATTAACTTAATTTTAACTTTTAACTCGTTAATGCCCAGCAGGCGCGCACCCAGGATTTTTGTTTGGGGGGAGGGCTTAAATATTTTCTTACTTTCCTTACACACAAGTAAACAATTGTCATTAATTTTCTATTAATGTATAACTAACATAATAATAAATTTTGAAAAAAATTGTACCTTTCATACCTATCATTGTAATACTATACTTGTGACGATATGATATAATGTATAATTTAATGTAAAACATATTTTTTAAGGGGGCTATAGCTCCAAAGCCCCTCTCTTGGATGTGCCACTGATGCCCAGCTTTAATATTTATTAAAGCTATATTTTCTAAAACCAGTCAAGTAGAAATATTTTCTCTATATTTAATATATATTCAGTTAGAATTTAAAAAAACTTTTATAGATAAGCTTAGAAAACAAATAGTAGTATCAGAATCCAAATACAATTATGACAGTCAACTAAATATATTTTTAATTAAACTTGTTCAACTCAATAACTTTCTATATAATTTAAATTAATCCATATTTATAAAATATTATTTTACTATTACTCTTATTTACTAAAGTGTTATTAATAGGGCCCGGATTTCAATGCAAAGTGCATATTTTTTTGGTTGATCATACACAATGCTCTCTAAGAACACAATTTGTTTCATGTAACGAGGGCTTCAAAACTACAAATTTTATTTTGCATTTTTTGCATATTTCGACATTTTTTCGTTTTTAGAGCATTTTTAGTATTATTGGGTCATTTTGTTGATTTTTAATACATATTTATTCGATTTACTAAACAAATTTAGCCTATTCAAAATAAAATCAAAAGAAAAATTATTTTCTTGATATTTAAGTAGGTTTATCAGGTTTTTCCATACACATTGTCAATCTTTATTTTTCGATTCATCTTATCCTAATTTATTATTGACTATGGAACGTCACCAGTATTAGGTCAAATAACAAATCAACTTTAGTTCGTATTACCTCGCAGACTTTGCTTGTATTACGTGTGAATGTGATTTTAATGTATTAAATAATGCCCAAAACAAAAAAAAAATATTTCATTTTTAAGTTCATTTTTGTGGTAAAATGCCTTTTTTAAGGACATTTTCAGCTATTTTTTAGAGCATATTTGTATGGTTTTAAGTACATTTAAAACTGGGCCCTAGTTATTAATATAATTACTGTGTATTTAAATAAATCTGCAAATATCTTATATAAACTTATAATTGTTTATATATAAAATGTTTATATATTATAAATATTCAAATATATAAATAGATAATGTTAACTTTTTAATTCCCGTTAGACATAATACATAAGATGTCCAGTGGCACAACTTGAGTTCAAATCTTAGGGGTGCTACAATAGTTAATCCTTATAACAGCAGCAACTCCGCCCCACACCTTCCAACATTATATGCTTTAAATATTTTATTTATACTATAATTATATTCAAAAAACTAGAAGATGTTAACACATTTTATTTTGAATTATTGTATTTTATTATTTTTAATTATTAAAGTGTTAAACATAATCTTCTATCAATATTAACAAATGTGTTCAATATTTCTTCCGGAATAATTTTGATTGCAAGATCTCTCTCTCAATGTTAATTATACTCAAGTTAGTATAACACTGTTGTACCATACTAGCATTTTTGCTTTTAAGCACTCCGTTTGAATTTCTTAGGTCCTGAAATCAGAATATTATAGAATTTTTTTAAAATTAAATAATTTTATTATGTTACATACTTAATAACTTATTTAATATGCACCTTATAATGCTAAATAAATTATCAACTATTTTCATAATCCAAATTCATAAAATGATCAATGGAATTTGCCATCTGAAGATTTTTATTTTAAATTCTAATCTTTAAATTATTAATAGAAAATAAAAAGTAGGAAAATAAATAATACGCCTCCAATATGCTTCTGGCACTTCTTGGTAATTAGCTCTAACAGTAGTCTAGTACTAGCAGTAGTAGTAGTCGTTTCCAAATGAAAATTCATCTTTTTTTTAGTAATTAGCATTAAATGTTTATAGTACCTTACTAAAACAAATAATCAAACTCGCCAGGATGAGAGACTTCCAATGATACATTATTTGTACGAATATGTAGTTCATGAGCTGGTCGACTCTTAAAAATGAACTGGACGAGTCGAATCAGTGTTTCAAGAGTTGGCGAATTAGTGACTCACTGACTCAGTTTAACTTACAACTCACAACTGTACTACTATAGATACACGACTCCCTTGATTGGTTTACAAATTCAAACGGAAAATGTAATACCAACATAAACAATAGTTCCCTTCGGATTTGGTTATTAATATTTCCATTGTTTCTTAAAACAAGATTTCTGACTTTCTCAGAAAAATTCTAACGTACGCTTATAATCATAATTAGTTTCATATGCAATAAGCTATTCATGAATATGGACTATGAACTTGTGAGTCGAATCAAGAGTCGAGACTTGAAGAGTTGATTAGAGTAATGGTAATCTGATTCAAACTAAGTTTAAGAGTCGATTCTTTGGTTCAAGTCATTACACTGAACTGAGTTGAAAGATTCAGTTCAGCATAATGAGTTGAAATTCCCATCCCTAATTATTTGTTTCACGAAATTGTACAATTTTCAACCATGATTCTAAGAATGTCTTATTTGTTCTCGTATTTTGAAATTACACAATGCCACTATTAATAATAATTTCAGTGTTCCCAATGTTAATATTATTCATTACCTATATTAGTAATAATATAATATAATTTATATAGGAGATAAGAAAATAAATAACCGATTATGAAATCTCTTTAGTAATATTACATTGTTAAAACTGTAAACATTTTAAATTACAAAGTCATGGAACTTGGGGATGCTTCTGCACCACTGTAGTTGCGCCACTGAAGATGTCTGTCTTTATGTAACAATAAAATAATTCTTCAATTTACAGATATTTGGAATTTTTAACCCCACTGTTTTAATTAAAATTATATTAAATAAAATAGAAAATCTTTTTCTAATCAATATGTTCTCTGAAAATATTAATTTAATTTTTACTAATATTTATTAAATCTAGGATAAAAATTTACAAAAAATGTGTGATAGACAACTTATACAATATTAAAGCAAATTAATATTTTATGTAGGTAATGAAACAAATGAAAACTGTTGAAAAATTTTATTTTTCATTTTAATTTAAGTTTTGTAATTTCTGGTTTAGAACTATTTTCTTCTTTATGGATAAAGCTTTTAAAAGTTATTTATTTGTTTTCTTAAATTTTACTTAAATAAACTGCATTTATCAATTCTATATTTATAAAGTGTATATATTATTAATTTCTAATAAATTTAAAAATCAAAATAATACTAGTTGATACCTACTAATTTTTATCTGTTATTTTTGATTATAAACTATAATTTTTAGGTTTTAATTAAAATTTATTTTTATGTCAAATGTATTTAATAATATTAATTTTATTATAATTACCTTAAATTTTTCTTATTAGAGACACTTAGTTTTAAAAATATTTTATTATTTAAATTAAACACCCTGAATTTAGTTTACAATAAATTTATTTTTATTATTATTCATATAACCAACATTTAAATTGTTTCAGTTTGTTGAAGTGTCCACCATCTAGAGATATAGAAATAAATGTTATGGTAGCAAATATTCAAGATCGATTTAGAATTCCATGGCAAGGAGGTGCAAGACGTATTTCCTTAGATTCTGCTGTCCCATTATTACTTTTTCCTGCTACTCTTTATTTCGCTGCTCAAGGTTTTTGGCCAACTATCTTACTATTTCCATTGGTTGCATTATTCCTTTATTATATTCATTACACAGTTCGCAAATATAGAGTAGCCACAAAGTTTTTTTATGTTTGGACCCTTACTTCTGCATCATTGGTGTTTATGGTATTCCAATTCATAGTTGTCCCTTTATTAGATATAAACAGCTTAGAAAATACCATAATTACTGTCAATATGATTGCAACCACAGTATGTTTTTATTTCACAAAGAAATATGCAGTAAAATCTCATCTGAAACCTGATTTAGAATTGACTAATGTCAATGATCTAGTTGATGCCGATGAAAATATAGTCTTATTAAATGATGCTGAAGAAATTCAATGTAATACTTGTAAAAAAGTTGTTCCACCCAGAACATATCACTGTTTTGTTTGTAAAACCTGTATTATCCAGCAACATATACATTCCTATTGGTAAGAAACTAAAACCTGCATTATTTATATTCATACAACATAAACTCAAAAAAGTCACTAAATAACTTATTATGTAATTAAATAAAATAATATTATTTTCATTTATTTATTATAAAGGATTGACTGTTGCATTGGAAAATATAATAGAAAACCATATATTGCTGGTCTCATTTTGGGTACTATCATGTTTACATTTTTATCAAATCTAATTCTTACTACACTTTGTCATCCTTTCAATGTTTTTGCAACAATTATGTTACCTGATGACTGCAGTGATGTATACTATGATATTATGTAAGAATATTATTTGAATAAATGTCAATTTATTTCAATATAAATTATGTATAAGGATTAGGTAAATTCTAAAAATCCTCAATGATTATTTGACTTATTAATATTATATATATTTTTTTTTAATTTAGTTTCATGGATAATGTATTTTTAAATTTACTATTAGTAATTGTAATATATTATAAAATGACTGGCCTTTATGCCATTTGTTGAGTATTAAAATTAATTGACATTTTAAGAAAATTTTGTTTTTTCAAAATAATATAAACTATTTTTATGTTTGACTCATAATTGTGTACATTTTTTCTAGGTATGGTATTTGTTTTGTATCCGGGTTGTATTGTTTCGCAGTTGCAGTCATATTATTTTTCATGTTTATTTATGATACATATATGGTTTCATTAGGAATCACCTACCACGAATGGCAAGAAAATTATAAAGATTATAAAAGAGATCGTTCTTGGTTTCTATCGAGGCATGTTATTATGAATGTATTATCTAATTGGAGAGCATTTTTTAATAATGTCTGATCACTACAAGGTATTAATTTTTTAGTATTAAATTGTTCTCTAATTTTTAATACTTTATATTGTATATTTATTATTCATTAATTATTACAATTAAATATATTTACTAATTATTTAATTTATATGATTAATTTTTATATTTTAAACTTATGAAGTTTATTTTTTCTAACTATACCATAATCTTATACCTTTATTGACGATAAATCATTATCTTTATTAAAGTTCTGGTGGAATAAAGTCCGGTAAAATTTCTTGAACCTTTTCATGCCACATTCGTAATCGACAATCTTTAAGTCTTTCCTTGTATACAATTTCCGGAAACCTCCTCCAGTTGTCAAAACAACGTTTAATTATAATTCTAAAATCATAGTTAAATTAATATTTGTTATGTGATAAATGTATCTTAAATTTATTCTATGTTCAAATGCCTAATGTATTCATTTATAGATTTATATTATAAGATTTTTTATGAATAATTAATAATTATTAGGTAGGTAACAGGTTTATAAACAATAATATATTATGCATAAGGATCTTGTGGATTTGTTCCTCTTTAAAATTATTCATAATTCACAATATTTGTTTTTTTTTTTTTGCTGAATTAGAGTTTTAAAGCTTTTTTAAATAGACTTCTAAAATAAATTATTAACCGTTAATATCAAACTAGGTTTTTTAAACAATAAAATAGCACTCATTCATTTTACTTTAAAAATTTGGTTAGCTTAATTACCTGTTATGATAAGATTCTGCTTCTAACATGGATTTATAAGTTTCAGCATTAATTTCCCTAACATAGACAAGCCATTTTTTAAAGCAAAATTCTTGAAGCTTAAAATCATGCCAATCATCGGCTACTTGTTTTTCCTTTTTATGTTCTTCTAAAATCTATTAACAAATAATTTTGCTCTTAATTTATTTAATTAAATATACTAAAGTAATTTAATTGAATATATTAAAGTAATTAAATTTATAATTAATTAATTGTATTTAGCTAAATTAAAAATCTTGTATTGTCCCACTACATACCTTAAAGAATGCAAGAAACATTGTCTTCATTAATTTTTGCTTATAAAACTGATCTGCCAAAAATATTTTCTCATTTGAATTATTATTAACGAAAAATCGCCACTTATTGAAGCATATTTCAAGCATTTTTTTATCATAAAAATATGAAGCTTCTCTAATCTGTGTCCTTACATTCATTAAATTTTCGATAAAAGCTTCAAGTCCTTTTTTTAACAGACATTTTCGATAGAAATTATCTGCAATTTTGATATTATCTCTCAAAATCTTTCTTTCCATTTTTCGTTTACATTCTTCGTTTTTTTTTAATTTCATATTTTCTCTAGCTTCAAATAATTGTTTACGCTTTAGTTCCATTTGTTCCTTTAAGCAATTTTCCTCCAACTGTTGTTTTTTTCGTTGTTGTTCCTGCTCCATTTTTCTGCGTCTTTCTTTTAATGCTTCCCACTTTGCTTGACGGTCCAAAGCTCTTATTTCCATCCTATTTAATATATCTGATGCATTAGCTTTTAACGCAACAGTACTCTTTGGTGGTACGTGTTTTATTTTTAATCTTTTTTCAGATTCATTAAACGTTTGCTTTATTAGTTTTTGATTCTCGAGCATCGCTTTTTCGGATTCCAATTTTAACTGTTGGAGTTTCAAACGTTCGATTTCTTTTTGTTGTTTCTCGAGTAACTTTTTTTGATTTTCAATTTTAATTTGTTGCCGATCGTAAGTCGTTTTTATCTGTTTAGGTACTATACGACACCATGTTTTTTGCATTTTGGAGCTTTTCTGTTGATCAACATGCAATTTTTCTTGTATTTTCGTTAAAAAATTATCGATTTTTTCACATCTATTCTTTCGTTTGAACTTAAGTTTCTTCACATAATCCCTCCATTTGTCCCAGTAAATTCTTTCCAAATCCATAATGAACACTTCTGAATTACAAATATTATTGTTCTCTGTCCTATGAATATCATTATCATACATTGGATATTCAGTGTTATTATTGTCATTAATATTGATGTTTAATTGTTGTACGTTTATAACAGTCAAATTATTTTCCAAGATAATATTTATCTTATTATCGCCATCGAGAACACTACTAATTTTAGAATTAATATTTAGAAAATGATTAATTTTAGGAATAATATTATCGCGAAACAAGTGATTTTTTCGTACATACTGGTCAATATCACTTATGGGTAATTTCATAACAATTCCTTCTTTACTTTCTTCTCGAAAACCCTTTCCCAATTTCCTCCTGTTATGCGTGTACCTGTCAATAGGTACATACCATTTTAAAAACGCCTATAATAGTAATAATTTAAAAAAAGAAAAAACTCACTTTTTTATGTTCGAAATTACTCTTTTGCAATCCCGTTCAATTAACCAACGATGTTCGTCTTCTGTCTACAATTGTATTTTAGTCGAATTAATTATTTTTTCTTATTATTAAATCAGCACGAATTTGGTTTAAAATATTAAGATTCAAATAATTAACAAAGTAGTTAATAAATATAATTTGTAACTAAAGGAATTATCTCGTAAAAATGAATACTAATTTATCGTGAATATTATTAACATTTTTCCGTTTTACTTTTTAAATATTTATTTTACTGTAGTTTACGTACTACCTAGTTATATAAGTTTACTACAGTTTCAAAAAATAAAAACACATTCAATTTGACGTTAAAAATTTTAATTTTACAAATCTATTGTAAATTTAAGTGAAGCTAGTGTCTAAAATAAAACATAATTTATTTTTAGTTTTATACTCTATATATATATACTCTAGCCGGTTGGTAATTAGGTATTTTGCAAAAATAACATATTGTACATACATGAATACATAATATTTGTAAAAAAATGTTATTTACCAAGCGTCTTTCAGAGTTTTTAATAATTTTTTCCAATTTTTTTCTGCTAACAATGCTGTAATCTTCTAAAGTTTTGGTGGAAAACTGTGCGATATCATTACACTGGAAGTTAATCGCTTCTTGGTTGATGTTGTACGCCATTTTCAATTATTTTCATATACTTGAACATACATCAATGAACAGTACTGTATAGGCGTACAGCGTTTGTATAAATATACATGATTAGATTTTACACCGATGTATCAATAATACAAAGTAGTTAATTTTACTCGTAGGTAGGAACAAACCGGACCCTACCGGTAAGAAAATGTTTACATGTTATTAGTATAATCACCATGGTGATCTTAAAATGTATTTGAGCAACGTTCTGTACCCTACACAAATAATTAAATATAAACACGTGCATTGTAGATTCTTCTCTATTCTTGGCGATTAATAGGTTTATAATTTGTAATAAGTTTTAATTTGTGAATAAATATTTAAGTAACAATTATAAGTTTATAACTACTTACCTAAATATATAGCTGTTATATTACGACTATTATATTATTATTAAATTACTTATTTAACTTGATATATTGATATTTAATTTTATTTATGTACAAAATAGATCCCTCATAATTGTTGATAAATTTTAGTAGTTAAAATTTTTACTTCTAAAACTCAGTTTTTGAGTTCATCTTATTAAATTGAACGAATAAATCATGTTGTGATTTTGCAATATACATATTTCTTTCACTGTAGATTAACATCGGGAATTTTACAAAAATGAACAGTGATTTTTTTTTTTTAAATATTTAATTAAATATCTTATTTTAAAGCGGGAAAAAATATACTTTTAGCCATCCAATTTTAATTTTGAAAATAAATTTAATTTACAATTATAAATCGGCTACTTTCTATGGTAAATAAAAAACGCATCCAATCATGTTGTAAAATGCAACTAAAAGCAATACGTACTACTTAGGTTATTAATTAAAAAGATAATTATTAAACTATTTGAAGTCAAAAACACCGATGCTGAGACGCGCCATGAAGCTTTTCATTTGCTAATCAACTTACAAATTTTATGTTCTTAATATCATTAGTTGTTTGATACGATATTCTTTTCAAGTAAATCTAGTCAGTAAAAGTATGCAAGTAAAGGCAATATACTTAAAAAATGGCTTGAATATGTTAAAATAAAAAGTGTTTTAGAATTTATTAAGAACCATAGAGATCAATTTGATTAAATTTTGATATAAGTAACATCAATAACAGTTGAATTAGAGGTAGATATTGAAATAAGAGTAATTCGGAATCGTTAAAAAAAAAAAACTGATTATGAGAGTTCAGATGATGCAGATCATAGAACTACAGTCGGAGAATTTAAACATGATTCTTTTCATTCGTTAATGATCGTTGTTACTACTTCATTGACAGATCGTTTTAAACTTTTAATGAATTAAGTTAATTTATGGAATTTTTCGTATGATTTAAAAATATACCTGAATATTACAACAAATTATTGAAACATTGTATTGATTTACACCAAGGATTCTCAACCTTTTGAGGTAAATGACTCCTTTTATATTATTTTATACTGTCACGCCTTCACCATAATAATATTTAATTATGTTTTATGTATAAATATATATCTATTCACTTCTTGTATTCAACCCTATGGTTGATTTCGCAGTCGGATACGCATTCTCCACTTTTCCTTGTTTCCAGCTAATATCTTTACCTCCATGTAGCTTGAAAGTCCAGCATCAGAGATCATTAGCTCGACAAATGAAGTTCTCGGACGTCCTTTGTCTCTTTGTCCTCTGTTCGTTTTTCTATTCTATTAACTAATTTGTTTTTGTGCCTGAATATGTGACCAATTATGTTCCATCGTCTTTTATTATTTTGAATTCATTCTCTGCGTTCATTTATTTCACTAATTATGTTTTCGTTGATTCTACCCAACTTACTCGTAGCATTGATTTCCAACACCACATTTCAAAGTTTTCGAGGATTCTTTGTTGTGCCTTATTTAGTATCTAAATTTTATAGCCATATAGCGCCACATTCTAAGCATATAAATTTAAGAAGCGTTTCCTCGCCCAAATACTAATAATCATACTATTGGAGCATAAAATGTTTTTCTTATTCATGAAGCTAACTTTGCCTGTGCAATTTTTCATCTTATTTCCATGGTGCAGCCACCTTGGTTAATTTAACTGCATTAGTATTTAAAATATTCCTCTTTTTCAAGCAGCCAATTTCCTGCTTGGATATTAATTCTACAGATTCGGTCTAATTTTTGACAATCTAAATTATGCCTCCATTGTTGGTTATTGAATAAATTACAGTATGAAAATTAATAAGATTGTTTTAAAATATTTAATAAATTATATTTTAGGAAAAAAATATTATTATTATTTAAAATTATTAAAAAAAAATTATATTCTATTATATTAACTTTCTTAAATACTAAATTTTAAATGTATTATTATTAAATAGATTAAAATTATTGAGTATTGGTACTGCTTTCAATTAATTGTAACTGAATAATGTCTTGATTAAATATAAGTAATTAAAAATAACGTTTTCGTAAATGTTCATGCCTCCCTTGATATTTTATCACACCTCCCTTAGGGGACACGTTACCCAGGTTGAGTAACTATTGTAACCACTGATCTATACAATCACTTTATAAATGAATCTGACAGTGGCGTATTCGCGGGGGGGTGGGGGGTTTCATGGGGTTTGAACCCCCCCATTTGCCGTATTTTTTTTAAATTATTCCAATAGTTTAATAATAATTGATTATTGATTTTATTGATTATTATTTAGTGGTTTATACGTCATTAATTACCAGTATCACGGTTATCTAGTTGGATTGGAGCACGACCATAGAATATGTTTTATGACACAACCACGCTATCAATTTTACAATTTGGTGACAATTTGTGATAATGTGGTTTTTTAAAAACAGTACAAAATTTGTAATTATTATGACTATGGGGGGTTTGTATACTTTTGTATTCTTGTACATTTTCAGAGCCCCCCCCCATTGAAAATTCCTGATAACGCTACTAGAATCTGACTATGGTAGTGATAGAGTCGAATTATACATAGAGATGATATTTGATTAGAACATTAAGGCGGTTGAAAGTGGACTATTTTTAAGGGGTTGAGTATAGGCAATATGTTGTATTCATTGGGAATTGCTTGTGAGTGTGTGTGTAGTAACTGATCATTAGTGTGCGTGAGTTCCTCGAACGCGTAATTATTAGTTTTATCAGTAAACAGTTCAACAATAATTTTATTTCTGTCACAGCGCGCATTGTATTGTATCCTTGTCCAGTATTTACAACTGCTGTAACCACTTCTGTATTTATGCACACCGACGATGAATTATTACATTCAGTTGGTATGACTTCTAATTTGTTGCACACCATACACTTAAAAATAAGTTCGGAATAAAAACCATTTTTTTTTCATTTAATAAAGTAAGATATTTAAATGAGCAGCCAAAAAATGGGTGGTTAATTTTCTGAATCAAATCAAATAAATTATTTATATTAACAATACGTCTACCGCCAAAAATGAACCTAGTGAAAAGAAATTAGAAAAGTATATTATATGATATGCAGTCTTGTAAAATATTCGAATACAAGTATTTGAATACTTGTATTTAAATACTTTTTGAAGTATTTATATGGTATTACTTTTGGAATACTTTTTAATTGTATTTTTACCAAAATTTAAATACTTGTATTAAACAAAACATAAAATAAAAAATTAATTTCCTACACAACACAGACAAGGAGTAAACAAATCCAAACATTTTTTCAAAATGAAAATTGGACTTCTGGAAGTGTATGTTTTTTCTTTTACTTATTGGTCTAAATGCACGAAAAAACAACCCACTTTCAACCGTTTTAAGCAAAAGTTAATTTTTCGTTTAAACGATAAACGTTTTTTGTAAAAATATTTTATAATTTGTATAGACACATGCTCATGTGCGGAAAATGAAATATAAGAGGAGGGTACAGGTGTGTAATAGCAAATTGACCCATGAGACTTTATATATAATATTCTTTAATATATACACTTTTTTGACGGGCTTTAAATTTAAATGAATTATTTTTGAAAGATTCAAGTTCCAGTAAACTCTTTTCCTCTCTTCTAGTTCTCTGCTAATACTTGTACATTATATATGGAAATAAAACAATAGTCTCAAACATACAGTTCATAATACATAACGTTATATTATACATTATATTCATGTAAAAATTAGTGTTAAAATTTTGATTAACTTATTTTTTTTTATTTTTTTTTGAAGATATATATTTTTAATATTTACAATGCTTTTTACAGTGTAACCATAAAATAATGAAGACAAAAAAAATTCGCTAACATATTTAACTACAAGCTTTAAACGCATAAATAATAATTTTCTAGTTCATACATGGTATTAATCTAAATAAAAATATAAGGAAATATTGAAAAAATAGTCTGAAACCTTGATACATTTTTTGATTTATTAGATGTTTATAATCATTTATAGATACTTATAGTCATTCTAAAATGTTTAAAAATATTAAACATTTATGATATTTTATTGAATGAGATGTGTAATATTTAAAAAATATGCCTATAGTGGTTAAAAATGCATACTCTTCGAGATGTATTGTGTTGAAGCCCATTGCCCACATGAGAATGCTAGAATAAAATTATTTATAAAAAAAAGTAACGATGTCTACTTTTTTTATTTATTTCAGAATAATATTACTCTTCTACAGGAAAACCAAAATATTTCGTTCCATATAGGTACATACAGACCGTGACCAATTATTATTGTAGTGCGTGTCATAATGAAGTTCCAAGTATATACGTATATACTTGAATGTTTAACGGTAAATTATTGTTGTATATAATGTTCTAACTATAAATGATTCAGACAGCGATCATTTTGCAATTTAACATTTTTAATATTTTCAATGTTCATGGTTATTTATTTATTTTATATATTTATTATATTAATGTAAATTTAACCTGTCAGAATGAGAATAATCCATATCACCTGTATATTATGATAATATAACCAATAGAATTGATGTAGGTACATTTTTAGCAGAAAATCACAATCTTATATTAAGTCACGGAATACTGAACACGAATAATTCGAACACGTCGACTTTTTCGCTTAATAATTATGAGTAATATACAAATTATTGTACATTTTAAACACAATGGTATGGATTTGACTATGAGAACTTAAACCAAAAACAATGAAATAATGTGATTTTTATTTGGTTTAAAGTACATGTGAGATAACGTTTTTCTACATATTAATACCATGGTATACCACTTACGTAATTTTTAAAAACGAGAATATTTGTTTGTTAATTTGCACACAATCGTCTAATCGTTATATTTCATAATTTGGCTAACCTATTACACAGTTTAGAAATGGTACAAGGGTTAGTAAAATACAAAACATGTTTCGAGAAAGTTATGTTAACATCGCTAAAAAACAATAAATGTATGATATTATAAGTTTTATGAGTTGATTTTTAATTAAATCTTTTTGATAAAAAAATAAATCAACATTATAAAATCATGGGTTAAGTTTTATATTATTTCTTGTTATTTCTTTTTTTGGTTTAATAATAATAATTGTTTTAACATATAGAATAATTTTACGTCGTGTATTTGTTTTTCAATAATCATTAGTCATTGAACCGATTACTCATTGCATCTAAGTCCTAAATTACATAAAATACCAGGAAATTAAAATTTCCGAAATCTGAGTTGTTCTATACCAATTTGAATATATTGACTAGTCCTAAAATTATAGTACACGCACACATATTCATATAAAATATTATTGTTTAATAATTTGAGTTTCTAACTTATGAAAAATACTGTTTAAAAAATTGTTTTCTTCGAAAATGTTTATTGTATTATTAAATATTTAAAAGTAAAATTAATAATATTTTCAATGTAAATCTAAAAATTAAAAACATTTCACACTGTTCTACTGGACAGTGTTTTTAAAAATAAATAATAAGTATTTACAAATATTTTCATAAATAAACAAATAAACAACGAATAACTATTAATCAACCAACTAACTTCTCATTTACGATAAATAGGTATACTATGTTTTATGCACAATGTTATATATATAGACACTCAGTGTTTTTATATTAATACATATGTATATAGATCTACTTAAATGGCCAGAACACGTATGTGCAGGTACGCTTTAATTAAATTTAGATATTATGATACTATAGGTACAAAAAATATTTAACCTCCATAAATTAATATAAAACTATAATAATTATTATTATACTCATTATTTTTGAGGTTTAATTTAAATTTATTTAAAATACACGTTTACGGCTTCAATATATATATATATATATATATATATATATATATATATATATATATA